ACAAACGACTCAAAAACCCAAGAAGGTTCAGGATGTGGAGTTTACTTCAGATCACTAAGCCTAAGAGTTGAGTGGGGAATGGAAAAAATACCAGCGTGGATCAAACAGAAATGACTGGTATCTCAATCGCCACAAAAGAAAACTGGTATCTCAATCGCCACAAAAGAAATAACCAGGAAAGGAATTTCTGGCAAAAACATAACAATTTGCACTGATAGTAGACAAGCCATATTAGCTTTGAACACACATGTTACCTCAGGGCTAGTACTATAGTGCCACCAAGATTTAGCCTAAGTGCTGTGGGCCTACAGTCACCCTCCCTACTCTACAGATACAGATGATTATATCGCCAGCTCACACTCGGTTAAGGGAATGAATTTATATCTATGAAGGATCAATGGACTCATATGCTCATCCAAGTGACTCAAAGACCAGTTCTGACTAGGCTCCTATGGCTTGTACAGAGCAATGTCTTCGATCTAGTGCTATTACACTACAGAAGCAAGACAGAGTCGTAATACCCAACTCAGTAACTACATAAGCATAAACGTATCTACTCTACTTCCGAGTTCGCACACTTGATATAGATCACTTTGTTGAGTTGGTCGTTCTTAATGTTGCAGTCTTTGGTGGAATAACGCCCTCTACACTCTCAAATCTCAAGATCAAGCTGGATTTTTGCACTGGGTCAAAAATAATAGCCGGACAAATGCAGAAGACTGTCATTCTCGGCTAACTGCATCTGCTCAGGACATATTTTTCTTGGACCCAATGATCAACGGTAAGGGAAATGGCCATTGGTTGTTAATGCTGGCGCGCAAACATCAACAGGCAACCTTCTATCGTATGTCACCCATATTTGGAATAATACAATCGAGAAACATGGAGAGTCAAGAGCTGTTGCGCTTGATAATTCTAAGTTCTTCAACAGTGTATAGCATGAGGGTTTGCTGGCCAAACTTCGATTCTATAGCTTTTATGGCTCTGCAACTTCCTGAAAGATCCTTCCCTGCAAGTAGCTATCGATGGATATCTACCCACCAAGCGTGGATTCAAAATTTGGGTAACGGCATGCTTTCTTTCAAAATTTATGAAGGAAAGGGTTCAGAGGACATCGAGGGCACGTTGGGCGAACGGACTGTTCTAACACTGGCTGAAGATTATTTGAATAAGGGCTACTGTCTTTTTTCGACAATTTTTTTTCTACGTTCAACTTGCTGAAAAAACTCATAGAAAAACATACCTTTGCTTGTGGAACATTCCATTCTAATCGAAAGTATTACCCTAGAGAACTTTTGGCTGATGAAAAATCCATGAAATTAGGAGACAGTGACTTTGCTATGAGACTTTGCTGTGTCGAAATAGCGTGATGGGGGAAAAAAGTCAGTCGTAATTATAATCTGTTTCCAAAGAAGTTCTACGAACTAATACAATTGGCGTGAGAAAAAATGTGAAATGCCCTCATTCCATAGCAGAATATAATGCTTTCATGGGTGGGGTAGATCTTTTTGACCAACTTCATTCCTGCTATTCAATTTCCTGGAAATCTCGTCGCTGGTGGTTGAAGATATTTTTTTATCTAATAGATGCAGTCATTGTAAATTCCTTTATTGTGTACAAAACTTCCATGATTAGAAAGGGCAAGAAACCGATATCTCATCTTTACTTCGGTAGAAAACGAATAGAAACACCAGTAGTGATAAATAAAAACAAACTGAAGAAAGTGGATGGGAGGGCAGTTTCGGTGGAAACTTGTCAAAGAACACATACCAATTCAAGGACCAAAATATCGACGATGTGCGTTTTGCAGTACGAAAAAACAAGTAAAACGCTCAAGATTAGTATACGAAGCCTGTAATGTGGCATTATGTCAAAGTTGTTTTCAACCTTTTCATAAATGAAATAATTAGATTTTAGCTTTTTTACGATATAAATGAAACCTGTTTTTCAACTTGCTCTGTACTTTTTTCAAACTGCTTGTTATTATACATTTTTATTATGTGGCTACCATAATAGCCACCAAATAAAGTGACATATTCAGAGTACCAGATGTTTGGTGGCTAGTATTTGTGACACCTAAAATAAAAAAAAAACCACTGACACTTTTGAAGCATAAGTTGCTAGAATCCTTCACTTTGTTATGTTTCAATATAACTTGCCCAAAATAATAAATTTTTCTTTGAAAAATAAAATTGCCCTATAAAGGGCTAATTACAAAGATGTGAAGATCATGCAACTCATTCGTGAAATCGATTCGTGATATTATGAATGAATTGAGTGATTCATCTTGTGATGTCATCCAGATTGATGCTGAAGAGACAATAAAGTAAGTGTCTCATTTCGAAACATCGGATATTCGCCATTGAGGATGACTGTGTTCCATGTAAATTTTACCTCTTTCATATATTATATTGTCTAACAATCTTGTGAATAATATCTGATTCAATTTCATAACGAATGTTTGGAATACAAACTGAATAGGAAAAAATGTTTCTGCATAATTCAATGTACGAAACTATTTTTTCTTTCGTGTAATTCAATATGGAATTAGTTAAAAAAAAATCTGTTTTAAAATCTGTTTTTCCGTTAATCAGCTGCCGCCCCCATACGAACGACAACTCTCAGAAGTTGAGAAACTTGTGCGAGCTAAGGACTAACGAGGTCTTACCTTTTAACGTGTGATTCCTAACACGGTTTCAAGAGAGTAGTTGTTTCATGATCTACACAACTTTGTAAAGATTTGTTTTCGAAATTAATTGCTTTCTTTCCTTCTTTAGAAGGTATTAATTGCGTTTTTCATTTCCTTGAAAGAAATTAATTGCTTTATTTCTTTCTTTGGAAGATTCTCACATTTTTGTATAAGATGAGTAAGTAGAAAGTCAAAACCATTCTTTCTCAAAACATTTTCAGTATTATTTTTTTAGCTTCTGTTGAATCTTTAGTATTTCATCTGAACTTTTTACATTTCATTTCAGACTCGAGAATACAGTCTTCACCGGCTTGGAAATAACGGACGATAGAATTTTCCTCGCCATGCCGAGGTTGCGTGCCGGAGTTCCTGCCACCCTTGCTACCATCCCCAGGAACACACCCCCGTCATCTAGCCCCGTCCTCCGCGCTTATCCTGATTGGTCCAAGCACGCTAGCGTGAAGGGTAGCTTTAATTGTTCTCAGATCATTTCCGTTTATAGAATGAGGATCGACTCTTGTAATAGGCTGTGGGTATGTATTTTTCGGTGATATTATTGATAGTTGAATAGTAAGTCACGAAATCTACACCATATTGTATTGAATGCCATTCTGTTATCTTAGTTTTCACGTTAATGTTAGTTTTAATTCTTTTTGTCCGGAATTTGTCTGATTTATTTCGATTTTTTGAAACAAAAATTGACTCGTTGCGAAGCTTTTAATAATACCTCATATAAAAGTAAGAATGAACTATTGACAAAAATATGTTGAATTTTCCAGAAAACTTTTCATTAGCCCTTATTGTAATACCACATTATAATAAGGCCTGAAAAATTATTCGTCTGGAAAGAATCAACATATTCTGTTCCTGAGAATCTACTCGTGCAGAATAGAACTTATCTCACGAAGTAAATCTGATAGAAAAACTACATTGAGGCGCCTTGTTCTCCTACCTACACTTTGTTTTTTTGTAATAGTGGAAAGGAATAATGCTTATTATGAACACAAAACGTTAACAGAGTTCTCAAACAAAATTTTGTGCTTTGTCACAGCCAGTATACGAGATCCGGCTATTCCGACTAGTTACGGAAAAGTGTTTTATCATAAAAATTATTTTATATTCGAATGCTCCCCTTCAATATACTCCCCTCTCTTTGCCACACACCTTTCCATTCGTTTTTTCCATTGATCGAGGCACCGCTGAAAGTCTTCTTTGGTGAGGGTCTTCAGGAGCTCTGCCGTTTTTTGTTTTACCGCTTCCTTCGACTCAAATCGGGTTCCTTTAGAAACAGGTTTCATCTTCGGTAACAAAAAAAGTCGCACGGTACCAAGTCTGGCGAGTACGGCGCGCTTTCGAGCACTGGAGTGCGTTTATCGGCCAAATACCGCTTTACAGATAGTGCGTGATAAGCAGGTGCGTTGTCCTGGTGCAAAATCCACGAGTTGTTCTTCCACAACTCGGGCCGTTTTTTATGAACTCGTTCTTGCAATGTTGCCAAAACTGACAAATAGTTAGTCTGGATGGCAGTCTGACCTTCTGGAATCCATTCGGTCATCACGATACCGTTGATGTCAAAAGGAAAACGATCAATATTGCCCTAATTTTGATCTGTATCTATAGAATAGGGAGGGTGAGTGTAAGCCCACAGCACTAAGGTCACATGTGATCCATTGTACATCCTCCCGAGGATTTGTTCTCCTAGGTCATCGTCCATTCAGTCCTTTCCAGGAAGGTGGACCTTTCCAGATCACTGTGAGACATCTCCTTTATATCGGCAGGTATAGGCCAAGACTCGCCGAACGCACACTCTCTTATGGACGATAACTCCGGGCACTCGCATAGGACATGTCTGACAGTCTCATCTTCCTGATCACACATCCTGCATAGAGGTGTGTCCAGTAGCCCCATATTATGGAGGTGTTCCCTTAGGATTACAACCTCAAGGTGTCTCAAGGCGACCTTCAAGGTTTTGCAAAGTGCAGCGACATTACTGTCCCTGCGCAGCTTCTTCAACCTTCTTGAGGTTCCCTCCGTGGAGGTGCTCACGTGGGGGCTCTTTCCTGCAGGGGCAGCCGGTTTCTTGCCTTTTTTCAAGGCGGAGCTCTTGGCGCCCGCTGCAGGAAGTGCCCTTGCTGTTGAAGGTGGAGTGGAAGAGGAGGAGGCTGCACTTATAGTTGCTGCCATTCCTGCCTCCTCCGCTCTCTTTCTCCTTTTGGCCTCGACGCGGCAAATGCTCTTACGCATTGGCCTTTGTGTTGTCACGAGGTGACCTGCTATGTCTAGCCTCATTATGAGCGGTAGATTGGGGTAGACATTTCTGTTCATCCCCAGCCAGCGCCATAGATTGAGGTGATCATTTCTGTCCAGCCTCGGGATTGGTTGTCTTTTTTTTATATCCATGTGAGTTCCCACGAGTAGCAAGGGAAGAGTTGGTCACCTTTGGCAGAGCCCCGCATTACCAGAGAAAGGCTGTTTACGATCCCCAAGGGGATCGTTCGTTACCGCATATCACCCTGCGGCCATTCAGCTGTCGGCACGATTCCTTACACCTCAGCTTGGGTAGGCTGGTTCACGGTGGCATGTTTCGCAGTGGCTTTTGGGGAGTTTTAGTTCCCCTCACCCTACTTATTTCTTCCACTGACCAGGAGTCCGGCGATCCCGTCCGTGAGACCACATTGATTTCCTTTTTCAGAATGCGACTTGTAACCGGTAGACTAATCTCCTGAAAATACTTGACGTGAACTTGTAATGTTTTCCTCTTGTAACATCTTTCCAACGATTTATCTTTCGCAAAGCCAAGTTTTGCCCAAATAATAAATAATTTCAGTCGCACGCCAAAACTCTCTTATATTCTTTAGATTATGTCTACTCTAGCAAATAATTTCATCATTTTTAATCAAGAGCGGTTTTCTGTTTTGTTATCCCAGCTGAAATTCAATGTTTTTAAGTCATACACAATTTAACAACATAACATTCTTCTTTGGCAAATTTTCAGTTTTCATCAGCGTGCACAGTTTTCTTTCCTAAAGATGGTTTTGTTGATTTCACAGCTTCATTCATTCTTTCATTCTTAAACGTATTCATCGATGATTTTGAAACTCCCGTCATTTGTGAACACATTTACACTATTGTACTAACGGTATACGAGGGATTTTGGTTTATAAGAGCGTCATACATAGGGTCTTTCATTGAGTTTCCTATCTTTAAATGAAAAAAAAATGAACCACAGTGTGTAAAAGACCTGTATCTGTAGAGTAGGAAGGGTGAGTGTAGGCCCACAGAATTTAGGCCACATGTGACCCATTGTACATCTTCCCGAAAAGTTGTGTCATCCATTGTCCATTCTGTCCTTTCCAGGAAGGTGGATACTCGCATATGACATGCCCGACAGTTTCATCTTCCTGTTCACACATCCTGCATAGATGTGTGTCCACAAGCCTCATATCATGGAGGTGTTTTCTCAGTTGACAGTCACAAGTCCTACTGTTAAGCGTAGATTTTTCCTGGTCATCGCCAGATATTTCTTCGGCGCCAGATTCCCAGAGTCGCCCAAGGTGATTCTAGCAAGACTGCATCCTTTGATTTCATCTCATCTCTTTAGGGATTGAGCATGGGTGTAACGTTTGGCTAGTTCCGCAATTGTCGAAGTCATCAAACCGTAGGTGCCACTGAAGATGATTTTTCAATGAAAATTAGGGTCAGTTGCCAGCTGCTCCAGAGCCCACTCAGCAAACATACGTCGTTGTCTATGGTCGTTTACATTCAGTTCCTGGGTTAGTTGAATTTTGTACAGGCTCAAGTCACGACGCAAAAATCGCCATTGTTATTTGCGAAAAGCCGAATTCTTGTGAGGGACACGAAATCGACTGCATCGGATTCTTCTGAACACTCTCACAGACAGCGGCGATGTTTTCGGTAGATCTTGAGTTTCGTTAACGTACGAGCGTTGATCGATCGTTCAGTGAACTAATGGATTAAAATTTATTCACCACATTGCAAATGTTTTTTTTGGTAAGACGATTATGATAGGATTTATCATTTTCGTATTTTCTCATCGCATATCATTGAAATGCTCTATTCTTTCGAAACGAAACAAATGAATATTTAGAACGAAACCACTTGGCATATTTCGAGTAGGCAAGGCCGTCGCCATGAGGTGATGGGGGGAGCCTCCCCGCCTGCTTTTTCAACTTGGGAAAAAGTCGGGAAATTTTGGGCCGTGAATATTGAAAAAATAATAGTGAAGAAACAAATAAAAATTGAAAAATTAAAATGGGAGAAAGGAAAGGGAGAGGTAATAAGAAAAGGGAAAGAACCAGGAGAAAGTTGGGATTTCTCAATATGCATAACTTGGAGATCCCATACTTTGAAATTCTGATTTGTTCAAAAACTTCAAAAAAGTTCAATTTCTCCCAAGTAAGAGAACATACCACAAATTTTGAAAAATCTAACGCCATCTAGTGATTAAAATATGTACTAGGATAATCATAGCTAAAGAAAAGCAATAAAACAGTCTATTGTAAACTGGTAAGTCATTCGTTTTAATAAAAGTGTCATTTTTGGAACTGCGTTATAAATAATCAATCTGTTTCGACTTTTTCTCTCAAGGACCTCCCCTTTCTGTCATGTCTGACTGGTCGTTTGAATGATTTATTGATTATCATTATATCACTCTTGTTATTTAAACAAGTTTTTGAAAAAGAAGTCACGCAGCGGTCAACGTGTATTTAAAGGGATGGGTTTCTTTACATAACCACTTATATTAATAATTCTAGAAGTAAACGTTTCAGAACACCGCGCCATTATAACTACTATTTAATTGAAACAGGATTTCTAGTAAACCACTAATGGATATGCATAATTGATAACCGATTTTTCCCAACTGGAATTTTAGGTACGATTACTTTCTCGTTATCTTATGGAAAATAACTGAAATATATTATGGAATTATTGACAATGGTGACGGAAAGAGTTCGATGGACTTTCAGTAAAATTTCTGTTGAGAGATGTAGAAAAATGAAACGATCAAAAATAGATTCGTCCAATTTTTAAAAAGTGTTATTAACAGTTCTTTGCAAATATGTCATGAAGGAAAATCTACAATAACTACTTTGAAAGATATTGTTGAAAAATAATAGATGAATTCAAGCTGTAATTCGAGCAAAGAGTCCGAGACCATCGATCATGACATATTTTTGGAGGAACTGGATCCAACAACCGATGTTACTAAAATCAACATTAATGGTTCTGTTAACACCATTCTCATTGAACATCACCAAGTCGGTTTATTAATTCTGAATCTGGTGAACGTAAAGCCGTGTAATAATTGAGTGAAATGAAAATTCCTCAAAATGTCAAAAGCGAAGTTTTTTTCAAAATGATGGTCAATTAGGCGGGTCGTCTCGGATCAGATTACCTGCCGATTTGCTAATTTGATTTGAAAGAAAGGAGGCGAGTGAAAAATCAAATAGGATGGAAAAATATTCAGGTAGATTAACTATTTCATCATTCATTACGAAACGTTGCAAGAAATGACTACTTGATAACTGCCAATCATACGCATACGCAAATTTTCGTTTTCATTCGGTGAAAAGTGGAATTATAATTTCTGCGGCAACTGAATATTTATTTCCTCACTTGAATATAAATCGTCCTTGTGGTGAAACGGATTCTTCACTCAAGGTTTTTCGTGGATGATCAGGAAAAATAAGACTGCTGCTCTGTGATATGCAACTTTGAATGATTCAGAATGGAATAAATGGATAATACAGGGCATCCATAACGGATGGTACCTCGCAAATGAATAACTAAAATTAGATTTTTTTAATTCTCACACTTTGTCAAGCCTTTTCCTCTTTTATACCATAACTTGACATGAGGGAGGCCATACAATGGATTTCGAAGTTCAGTTCCAAGGGTAGGCCGCTAGCTTTTAAACAGTGAAGAAGGGCGTAGGTAAGATGGAGGGTAGAGCGACACCCCAGCGTTATCAACACTGGAGCTTATTAAGAAAGAAAACAATAAAAAATGGGAAATATGTCTAAACGGCAGTTAATGGAACTTGATATTTCTTTCCTTAACATGTACACCTTCTCATTTTACAAGTTTTACCATCGATTCGAATATGAAACACATAACAATACTGTCAGGAAGCCTTGAGCTCCTAAGACGAATGCGAGAAGATATATTTTTCTAATTTTGAACAATGTCAAAATGTTCATATGATATGATACACATATAGCATGAATGAGTCGTTGCACGAGTCAATTCTAATGGAATTGTAATGTTCACAGACTCGGAAGAAAGATAGGTGTCTCTTCAATACCTGGGACGTTGAATTTCTAAGTTTCTCTTCACCTTAGATATCGCTATATCGCCTGGTCTGAACCCTCTAGACTTGTACGTTAAGGGGGTTGCGTTAATGTCCACATTACGATTGTGCACGGCTGGTGTAAACCTCGAAGTAGGAATTCATCAATTGAGGCTAAGCCTATGGCGATAAGTGCTTACTGCGCAACCTCTGCTACAGGCAGCTAGTGATGCAATTGAACCCAGGTTCATGTTTATTGAACTCTACAAAATACAAATAAAACATAACACAGAGTCAGAAGCTACAAAAGCAATACGCATATATACAAACGACTCAAAAACCCAAGAAGGTTCAGGATGTGGAGTTTACTTCAGATCACTAAGCCCAAGAGTTAAGTGGGGAATGGGAAAAATACCAGCGTGGATCAAACAGAAATGACTGGTATCTCAATCGCCACAAAAGAAATAACCAGGAAAGGAATTTACGGCAAAAACATAACAATCTGCACTGATAGTAGACAAGCCATATTAGCTTTGAACACACATGTTACCTCAGGGCTAATACTATAGTGCCACCAAGATTTAGCCTAAGTGCTGTGGGCCTACAGTCACCCTCTACACTCTACAGATACAGATAGTTATATCGCCAGCTCACACTTGGTTAAGGGAATGAATTTATATCTATGAAGGATCAATGGACTCATATGCTCATCCAAGCGACTCATAGACCAGTTCTGACTAGGCTCATATGGCTTGTACAGAGCAATGTCTTCGATCTAGTGCTACTACACTACAGAAGCAAGACAGAGTCGTAATACCCAACTCAGTAACTACATAAGCATAAACGTATCTACTTTACTTCAGAGTTCGCACACTTGATATAGATCACTTTGTTGAGTTGGTCGTTCTTAATGTTGCAGTCTTTGGTGGAATGATGCCCTCTACGCTCTCAAATCTCAAGATCAAGCTGGTTTTTCGCACTGAGTCTAAAATAATAGTCGGACAAATGCAGAAGACTGTCATTCTCGGCTAACTGCATCTGCTCAGGGTATATTTTTCTTGGGCCCAATGATCAACGGTAAGGGAAATGGCCATTGGTTGTAAATGCTGGCGCGCAAACTTCAACAGGCAACTTTCTATCGTATGTCACCCATATTTGGAATAATACAATCGAAAAACATGGAGAGTCAAGAGCTGTTGCGCTTGATAATTCTAAGTCCTTCAACAGTGTATGGCATGAGGGTTTGCTGGCCAAACTTCGATTCTATAGCTTTTATGGCTCTGCAACTTCCTGAAAGATCCTTCCCTGCAAGTATCTGTCGATGGATATCTTTTGAATACTTTCACCATCAACGCTGGTGTTCTCCAGGAATTCATATTGTTTTCAAGCTTTTTCTTATTGTATATAAACGACTTATTAATAAAACAAGAATCTGATATATTGCTTTGCTGACGACAGCACACTTGTCTCGTCATTCCATTTGGATTCCAGGACATCGGCTGCAGATGCAGATCTTCACCAGTAGCAGGAGGTTGCATATCTTAATGAGGATCTAGAAGGGGTTTCGAATTGGTTGAATTCAATGCCACAAAAACCCAGGCATCGGTTTTCTCTAAAAAGATAAATGTCTTCGAACTGGATATGACAATGTCAGGACACACAGTTCCGCTTTCTGCTTCGATGAGATTCTTGGGGGTTGAAATGAACACCAATATATCTTGGCACAATCATGTATCTGGAATTGCAAAAGCTGCTTCTCAAAAGCTTGGAACACTGTTACGAATCAAAAAACTGTACACACCTCAGCAACATTTGATGCAGCATAAAGCTCAAATCAGAACTTCTTTGGAATATTGTTCTCACGTATGGAGCTCTGCCACTAAGCATACCCTGGAGGTGCTGGATTCCATCCAGAAAGAACCATACTTTTGATTGGAGACGCGAACATCACTTGCAACCTTGATAGTCTGGAACATCGAAGAGTTAGAGGTTTGTCTCTCTTCTACAGATACTTTCACAGAAAGCGTTCAAGTGACTTGGCACATTTGATTCCACCAAGAGCGGTACATATCAGAAATACTCGACGGACTGTGGCTGCTCATCGTTTTGAGGTTCAACTCAGTACACCTTGAACTTCACATTTGGAGAATTGCCTTTTTGTGTAATAAACTTCCTAAGAACGTTTTTCCAAATCGTTTTATTCTCTAGGGATTAAAATGCAATGTGAATTGCTACTTTTGCAAAGGCACCGCTCTTAGAGTGATTTAAGTATTTTCCTGTATTGCTTGTGTTTTGTCCTTAAAAGGAAATGTCATCAACTTTTCCATCGTTTTCATGCATTGAGTGAAATCAAAATAAATTTGGATAATTCATTCTAGCCCGTTGATTCAAATTTGATAAGAGAAAATCTGAAATTATAATATCAGAGGTTAAAATTTTGTAATAGCTTGCACAAATCACCGCTATTTCTGTGGGTTTCTGTGGCTAACAAAAAAGCAAGAAATATAATAATTTGGAAAAAAACGCATAACCATCAATTTATTTTCAGGTTTTAGATTCTGGCGTGATGACTTCGATCGACGACTTCACAAGAGTGTGCCAACCGAAACTAGTAGTTTTTGATCTATTCTCCGACATTGTAGTACGTACAATTATCCTTCCTGAAGGTGTCCTCAGACCTGCGTCCCTTCTAACTAATTTGGTGGTAGATGAGAGTGTCCAAGGACGATGCGATTCATCTTTTGTTTATATGACTGACACGGCAGCGCCAGGTAAGGACAAAATTTGGGTTCGTGAGACAAATTACTCTTTGGGAGTAATTGGCTTTTGTTCGATCATAACTATAATCAGTCGTCTGACAATGCGAAAATAATAAAAGAGAAATACATCCTGATCATGATAAGTTTATATTTAGCGTCACGATGTTAGCTTGTTATAATTTTTTTGCACCTCCAGACATGTAATCGTCAAATATTTTAGGAGAACACTACGTCGATTGTCTCACAAATCTTTGTCCTTGAATTTGTAAGTTGAATATATTTTTACAGTGATCCATGATGTCAATATTGTTGCCTCTACTGGTTCTGTCTTGAAATTAATAGAATTATCAAAGCTAAAAGTTATGTTTGAATTCCTGAATTGCAAGAAATATACGAGGTGTGTTCGAAAATAGAGGTTTATGTTCAAATTTCGCAGGCCTCGTATATTCGATTAGCGGTTTTTAATTTTTTTATATTGGTACATTTGTTTTGAACATATGTTCACAGTTTCAGCTGTTAAGTACGTTCAGTTTGTTGGTGTTCGGCTTGTTCGGCCAATTTCTGCGATGGAAAAATAATGTATCAGAGAATTCGCATAAAATTTTGTGTAAAAATTGGAATTAAGTGCACAAAAATACATGAGATGTTGACAGTGACATACAGTGCTTGTACTCTGAGCCAAAAAAAGATAAGGATAACTGTGTTTCTGACGAAGCATTAAAATCATTAATAAAAAAAAGTTTGGCTTTCAAAGTGGCACTAATGTTGTAATTTTCTCACTCATGGAAAAAGTTTATACTGGAATCAATAGTAGCGAGGTTGCTGCAGCAGTATTTTGCGATTTTTAGAAGGCTTTCGACTGTGTGGATCACGAAATACTGTTGCGGAAGCTTCCCTACTACGGCTTCAGAGGAGTGATACTGAGCTGGTTCAGCTCATATTTGTCAGGTCGTAGTCAGATGGTGGAAACAACCCATCGCTCAGATGGTGGTGTGCCTCGAGATTCAATCTAGGACCAGCATTGAGTTCATCTACCTCAACGATTCGACAAGTATAAATATCTCAGGAAAATTCACACTATTTGCAGACGATACTACCATTTCATGGCAATCGGAAAATGCAAATAATTTAACTAAAATCATATCCATCGATATGATGAAGGTAAAGAGTTAGTGTGATTCAAATCGCCTTTCTCTAAATATTTCGAAAACTAACATAAATAACTTTCAGATGTGAATTTGACAATATACCCATTGGGAATGACATTATTGAGAACAAAAGTAGCTTAAAATTTTTAGGGGTACATGTCGATAGATTACTAAAATTTGTAGAACATATTTATCCCTTGTGTAATAAAGTGTCGTCTGGTTGTTATGCAGTCAGAGAAGTATTATATATTAAGTGAAACTTTGTCCACAAGATTACTCTTATGGCAATAAAGTACATTTTCTCTCTCTCCCTCTCAATAAACAGATGGAAATGTTGAGAACAGGAAAAATAGTGTTATGAAGAATCGTTGAATCACTATTAGAGGAGTTGTTGAGGATACCGGCATATCGGTTGGCTCATGCCATGTAATTTTTTGAAAATTTTTGGCATGTAACGTGTGGTTTGTTCTGAAAATGTTGATTCTTGACCAAAGAACCGTAGCTTGATCATCACCTAGAAATTTTTGAATAACTCCAAAGGAGATCTACATTTGTTTAGAAAGGTCACAATAGGTGACAAGTCATGAAAATTTGGTTATGACATCAAAACCAAGGCCCAGAAGGGCCAAGACGAAAAAAATCACGTCAAGTACGCTCAAATGTCTAGGTTTTGCTCACTGTTTTCTCTCTGAATGTCGTGGTATAGTGCTTTAGAAGTTCTTGTCATATGATCGTACGATTGTACGACGCCGCTTGCGTCCTATTTTGTGATCAAAACAATTCATGGCTTTTGCATCACGATAATGTATCTGATCACTCGTCATTGCTTGTTCGTAATTCTTTTGCCAAAAATAACATCGTCTCAGCCACCGTATTCATCAGAGTCACCCCCTTTCGACTTTCTGCTGTTCCCAAGATTGAATATACCTATGGAAGTATGGCGTTTTGCAACGATTGAGGAGTTAGAAACTGAATCACCGGGAGAGCTCAAGAGAACGTACCAAAAAGTGTATATCAGAAATTCTCTGGGGAATTCAAAAATAATTTTCATTTGCAGCAAATTTTCCACCTACCGGTTGTAAATATTGAAGTTTATCACAAAACGCGTGCCATTGTTTAGCTGGATAATGTTTTTTGTATCATACGAGAGGTTTTCTATTCTTACCTTAAAATATCGATGTCAATTTCCGTACCCTCGCCACTGTTGAAGTTGAACAATTATGTTTTAATTGAAAGATATCAACTTTCTTCAACTGTCACTTCGTATTTTTGTATTAAGGTACACCCTGTATCAACTTCTGGTCTGAATAATACGTCTGTTTCAGTTTGTTTTTTTTTTGATCGTGCAGAATTAGTGAGAAACTGAAAGAATTACGCACGACCATGTTAAATTGGTTGACTAAGTGGATCAAAAATATATAATGGAATCGGCCGATACTTGATGAAAATTCATAACGGATTGAAAAAACACTTCATTTTGGGTTTTTTTTACACATTACATATATTTGTGATGCCCTGTTTGGCACCTTTGGTCTAGTAATGAATATAACTGGTGTTTTATCCCAACACCAAACCGTTATTGTTACCACCTCGACACAAGTTTCGATCATTAAGTGATCATCTTCAAGATCAGCAAGTGATAATCTTTCTCTTGAAGATGATCACATGTGAGGGTGTTGAAAATAACAGTTTGGTGTTGAAATAAAATCCAGTAAGGGCCCCTTACTCTAAGGGGCATATTTGAAGACTGGTTGTAAATCAGTCTCAACCACTTAGGTAAGGTTAGGTTGGGTCCAAAGTAAGTGGGTCTATTCGACTCGCAATCCGCAAGGGTTTATTGTGTATGGTGAGTGGCCTTTCAGGTCCGAGTCACTGCAAATGATTATTCAAATGACAGTGACCTCTAAGAAGGCCTATTAGACATCGTAATTTATCTCTACTCTAGTCCAACAACTTTTTAGTATCAAGCTTCCAAGGGTGAATAAACGCCTTGGAGTGAGCCAATCCTGGAAGATTCTGCCAGAAAGCCATCCAAGTGTTTAATCTTTGTTTGGCAAAGCACACAGCGATGCCAACGACAGGTTCTGGTCCGATGAAGCTGCTTGCAGGAACCTCCTCTGCAAGGGAGTCAGCAGCCTCATTGTCTTCCAGGCCAGTATGGCCAGGAATCCAGACCAGAGACAACCTGTTAACTCTTCCCATCAAGGAGAGTCGTTTCTATCAATTATGACGTTGCTTTCAAAGCCGCTTGACTGTCCGAGAATATTTTTATTGACTTGTGTATGAGGTTGTATTTTTCCAATCAGAAAACAACTACTCCCCTGGCTGAGACCACGAAGAGCGCGGATTATCTCCGACAGGTCAGTGCACAGAAGTAATTCCTGCATACGCTGTTGGCGATACAACTGACGGAATCGATTTTCAGTTATTGGAAGTGGCACACTTCCAGACCGTTTTCGGGCTATCTGGCCTCTCGCAAGGCAGTGTTCATCATTAACATGAAGTCGATGATTTCCCATAATCAAAAATCCCGATAGCCATCTTGATTTCGGAGAGGTTGGAGCCTGGCTCCCTTACCCTTTGGACTGATGTTCGTCAGGAAGACGAATGGGTCAAGACTGATTTGAAGGATGACGGCATGAATGTCCTCAGACATCAGTACTGCCCTTCACGTGGACCCCTACCTGGCTGGGGTGTTAAGATGAAGATATAATTAATTTTTTAACGCGGGAAATAATGAAAAATCTAATTCCTTTCAAAGTATCGTTTTTCGGACAATGCTGAAGTGAACGACAAACAACGTAATTCTCATCGCCCCATCTGCCCGTGAACGAGTTAACCAACTGCATACCCGAACTGCCCAATTCCTTGTAAGAGGAAAAACAATATGGCAAATCATTAGTGGAGGAATTCGTCCACAGAAGATAAGTCATCCCTGTATGGAATTATTATCGGTAGTTCGCTAGTATGAATATAAAGGACTCATATACTATTCTCAACGGATTTTGAAAAAAACATTCCATCTTCATACATAACCTTGTGAAAAATTGAAAACATTGTAATTGAAATCCTTGTGGATTTTGACACATATAAATCAATTACACAGTTTTGAAAAAAATTTTTTCAGGTTTGGTGGTGTATGATGGAGTGAGAGATCAAGCTTGGAGATTATCGCATCCTACTATGTTTCCTGATCCAAATTTCTCAGATTACAATATAGGCGGGGAAAGCTTCACGTTGATGGATGGTATTATTGGAATAACCCACTCTCCCAAACTGGCTACGGTGTATTTCCAACCTTTAGCCACAGATAGGTGAGTTTTCTCCAATGCAATAAAAGAAGTTAGATACAGAAATGCCAGAACATTCAATAATTTTCTGAAGACAAACACAATAATATCGATATTTCTAAAAATATTCCATTTTATCTATCAAATGGCAATTTGGAGAATCTTTTCATTAATTTAAACGTTAACAGGTTTACATACACTTCCATTATTAAAATTTCTGTGATATCAACATGAAAATGTCTAATACGTTTTTATTGCGTTTTGTGTTATTTGGATCCCATGTATGATTAATTATCCCTTCCAATCCATTTTTTGCACGTGTTTCTCAGATTTAGTTGTCACAAGTGAGTGTGGTTTTACTTTGAATCACAAATGAATCAGAAACTATACGCTCCAATGTTGAATATTTGTATTTTTTCTATTGGTCAATCGAACAAGAAGGCGGGACTAGGCATGTGAGATCATGGGCCTAGAAAATCGAATTTTTAATAATTAATTACGGGAAAACAACGGTATTTAGAGAGCTGAAACAAAGTATGGTATTTATCAATTTGAAATTAAAAGAATGAAGGTTTGATAGCTGTTTAATAAGGAAGATAAGTAGTTTGTTGAATAACTTGATGGGCATAATTAGGGGGCTGTTTGCTGCTTTCGTCAATTTATGGTGGAGAACAATAAAATTATAGTTAGATCTTAACGTATATCCTGTGGCGAGCCGAAGATTATCTCTTGATTCAAATTTATCGAGATGAGTTTTGACATAAACAACACAGTTGATAATATATAGTGAAATAATGGTTAGAATATCCAAATGGGTAAACAGCTCCCTACATGAGTCATCATATTTTTTGAAACACATTGTTCTCACTACTTTTTTTTTGAGTTATTAGTGATTCGTTTATTCTTGTACAGTTACCAAAGTTGATCAGACAATAAATGAATGAAGATTGAATATAAGCATAGTAATAACTCTTCAGATGAGGTTTGTTGTAATAACTTGCCATTTATTTTCACCAGAACACTGCGATCATTTTCAGAATGAGACCATTTTGAGAACAATATTTTTGCATATTAGCAACTGCTTGATTGGCCTGACTCGACAATCCCTCATAATCTGAAGACTCCAGAGTGAACGAAGAATCGTCGGCAAATTGCACTGTACGATGTTGACGATTACTGTTGTTGAGGTCATGTACGAATAAAAGAAAAAACATGGGTCCTAGGACGCTACCCTGGGGAACACCGGTTCTGGGGAACACCGGTTCACAGGTTCTAGAGTTTAAGGTCCCAGCCTCCAGTTCATGGAATATGTTCCATTAAACGGGTTATTTTAGTCTGCTCAGTTTGACCAACTTACGTTTTGTCTCGATCCAAATGACCTCAATATAAGAGGTAATCATGTATTTAAAATAACTAAGTTAATCGTGAGATCCTCATGACGATAAATTGATTGGGAGACAGTGCTATAGTTGTGGAAGAAGCGTTTTCATTAGATTTATTTTAAAACCAAAATTTCAATTCTACCTATAAAACGTGACAGTAATCAACTGTTTTTTTTTTCAGAATTTTCAGCATACCAACAACTACTCTAACAAAAGGACCACCGGGTGAATTTGAGAAACTACCCATCTCTTTCGTTGGAAGAAAATCATCACAGGGAGTAGCACTCACTTTGAATCTCGTAGACGAGACATTGTATTTCAGTCCTACAGCAGAGACATCTGTAGCATCGTGGAATCCATTAACAAATCAACAAAAGTAAGGAACAAACCCAGCATCAATAACAAATATCGATTAGAGAGTACCTCAAGGTACAATACTAAGCCGCATTCTATTCAATCCAATATTCGGGTTTGCCTATATTCTACAAATCTAAATAATTGTTGAATTGGGTTCCGCTCTAATGAATACTTGTTTGATCAACATGCTTTTTTTCATGATAATAATCACAAATCTTCACAAAATAGACTTTATTTTCAACACGTGTCTCACTACACAGTAGTTTCCTCAGTTGGACTGTTACTCTACAACAATGTATAATGCAATTCATACAAATTAACTACCTTATTGAAAAGATTTCAATGATTGGTAAACAGGTAGGTTTAGGAATATGTACCCAGCAGGTGAAATTATTGTTGCTAATGATTTGACTAATTCTAGGGGAAATTTTTCATGAAAATCAATTGAACGGAGGTGAGAGATTGTTTTTTTGTTAGTCGTACAATAGAAATTTGATTATTTACGTTTATTAATTTTCGGGGATTTCAGTAGGTTTAATTTTTGTCCTCAATTTTCTGTATGTAGTACATCGTAGTTTATGTTGAAGTCATGAGTTTCTTTCAACAGAGGACATGGATAGGCTGAATTGCTTTTCATTAATTCAACACTTCTTTTGTGTTCGTACATTCTGGTTTTGTAATTTTTTGATGTTCTTTCTATATACACATTTGGGCACAAGCCACATTTTATTAATTTACTTATTTATTTCATACACTATTCTACACGATACACATATAAAAATAAATTGAATGAAAAACAGAACTATCAGTTAGCTGAGAAATGTCTTTTGATTTTTATAATCTGGCAGTTGAATATATCTAGGACACGACTGATAGAATTACAGATATCGCACGTTGTATAATTTTTTATTATATTTGTTCGCGTAGTGTTGAGATAAAAGGTTAAGGAACTCAAAAATTCAACATAATGTAACAATTGAGAGCGGGTTATGATATTATTCATGACCTTGAATACAAAACAAATGAATAATATTCATGCCTCACCTCGCGACTACAAAAATTGTGAATTTCAAGCAATTCATAATAGGGTGTTCCTACAGTTGGATAAGTGCCTTCATGTTCAAAAGGCATATATTTTAAGAAGCGCCTTTGAAGGTCTTCTAATTGATCTATATATACCTGATAGTAGGGACTACACACATCAGATGCATATTCTAGTCTAGACCGAACTAAAGTAGAATAAATGAATCCGAATGGTGAAGCTTCTTCGAAGTCTTCAATATTTGTAACTAAATATCCATACATGCGATAAGCAGCTGTCAATATGTTTATTGAAAGAGAGATATAAATAAAAAGTAACACCTAGATCAGTTAGTGTGATAGGACACTTCAGAACTTGATTGTTATGACGTAGTTGTGTGATGTCACATTCCTTTTCAGTGAGTAAAACATTAGATTGCATTTGGATATCCCAACACCAAATAGCAACACGATTCGAATTCAGGTCGAGACGTTCGCAATCATTGTTATATTGTGATATAGTTTCAAGTCATTTGCGTATAGAATGGAATCAAAATCAGCTCCGATATCATTGAACAGTATTGTACAGTAGGGGTCCCAAGTTTGATCCTCGTGGTATCCGATTTGTTGTTCTTGTTATTTTTTATGTCTACTCAAAGAGATATCAGTCTTTGTATATGTTATGTTATGTGGTTTACTATGTTGATGTTCTGTTTACTTAGTAGTCTACTTATGTATTTTGATGCTTTCCTGTATTCCTTTGAATTATTGTTCGTCAAGAATGTGATGAATCATATCCGGATTGATGTGAGTATTTACTGTTTCATCAAATTTAGTTTTCTGTTGACATAGTGATACTAATAAGTCTGTGAATAATGCTTTAATGAGCTACTAGTTTATGTTGATAAGCGTGATTAGAATGATAGATGTAGTAGTATCTGTATGGGTTGGTTTATGGTAAACTGCCAAATCATGTGTGTCATTAATATTGTCAAGTCCAAAAAGTTTATCGATTATTGGTTTTATTGTGTTTTGTGTATTGTTGAATGCAATTGATGAATTTTATTTGTTCTGACTTACACTATCTAATATGGATCTAATATTATTCGAAATCTATGAAAAAACAAATGAAATCAGAATAAATAGCTGGAATATCAATTGTATCAAACAATGGAACGTGAAATTGAAATACAATGAAAAGAATAAAATGATCAAGATACAAATTGAAAATGACCACAGAGTAAAAAAATGAAAAATGAAAAGAATAAAACTAAAAATAAACGAAAACAATAAATTAAAAAAGGTTTCAAACCCAGTTACTTCACGACGTTTCGATTGTTAGTATCCACAATCGTTTTCGGGTGATGACTGGACTGATTCCTACGGGAAATTACTATTTATAGGTCATTCGAGTGCTTTCTCCTATCCCCTCTTTCCTCTTTTCGGTTTACTGGTGCAGCGAGATTTGGCCGTTCGAGGAGAGTTGACTGTTATCTACTTGATTAAAGGTTTCCTTATGTTGCGTATCTCTACGATAGCTTGCCTGAATGCGTCGTTGGACAACATATATGCAGCTTCTTTGAACTTTCTCTTGAAACAATCTAAACATCGTGAAGTAACTTGGTTTGAAATATCTTTTAATTTATTGTTTTTTAATTTTTTGCTTTTTTTTTATTCCTTTTATTTTCCATTTTCAATTTGTACCTTGATTATTTTATTCGTTTTATTGTATTTTCATTTCACGTTCTATTCTTCAATATAACACAGGTCTGCGATGAAAAAATTGTGGGATATTCAACTAGTGATTTTTAACAGTATTTTGTCTGCAGATTACGGAAAAATAGTAAAAAAATCTATCACCTATAGATAAGTCACAAATTTCACCTAAAATTTTCTTATTAAATGGGTTTTTAGGTTTAGGTNATGTAATATAACTCTTGAGGATGACTCCATGAAAATGCATTGTGAAAAAATTATTACTCAATGTTGAATGAAACTCTACATCCATATTTCCAGGTTGTTGGCCTACGATCCAGAAAAACTTCAGTTCCTCGCTGAGTTGAGATGGAAAAGCGACGGTACGTTATGGATTTTGAGTACAAGATTCCAAAAATTCTTTTTGAGGACTGTTTCCCCACTCGAAATCAACCTTAGAGTGATCAGAGTGTTCCCCAAAAATGGAATTTCCCATGGAGTCACTAATAACCTGTTTATCTGAGGTGAAGACTTCCTTCAGAGAAGATATAACTTCAACGAAGCACACTGCCACATAGAACTACTTAGATGGCTCGTGAAAATAAAATTTTCCTCGTAAAGACTATGCAACGCTAGTGACGACTGCCAGATATGAACTCGAACAATGTAGTGTTAGGATTATTGTAAATAGTCGTTATTTGTTACTAGGAGATCATACCTTAAAATTTCTTCATTATACCATTTCAAATTTAATTGAATTTTTATATATCCTACAGTATTTTTTACTTATTTATATGTCAAGTGACATAACTATTGGTGACCTGTTATTTTTTATACTAGTAAAAAACTGAGAATGGAAAGTTTTTTATTTTCAAATGTGCATTCATAACATATTTTTAGTAATTTTCAGAAGATACTCGAAATTGTATACTCAAAGATACCTCTATCTTTTCTTTCCTAATTTCTCTCCTTCTCTCTTTGCCTCAGAGAATTCAATATATTGAAGAACACTTGGATAAATTGATTGTTATTGCATTGTCTCTCTTGGCAAATACAGAGTTTTTCACATATCACAGTGTTTGAGAGAGATATTCGTCAGTACCAAATTGTTTTCTTATGTAAATTGCTGGTATTATCTTGCTATATCACCATGGTGAGAGTTGCACGACGTAATGACGTGATCTTTTACTTATATATTACTTTGCTGACGACAGCACACTTGTCTCGTCATTCCATTTGGATTCCAGGACATCAGCTACGGAGGCACATCTTCACCGGCAGCAGGAGGTAATTTGTAATCTGTTTTTCCGTTAACCAGCTGTCGCACCCCTACGAACGACAACCCTCAGAAGTCGAAACTTGTGCGAGCTAAGGGTTAACGAGGTCTTACCTTTTAACGTGTGATTCCTAACACGG